CAGCACTCCTGCTGCGGTGTGGGAGGAATGTGAGGCCGGCCCGCCCGCCACCCTGCGTGAGGGGGGGCCTGGCACGGGCAGGTTCGGGCCTGTGAGCCTGGCTCTGGCCGAGGGGCTCCATCCCGGTGCCGGAGCCGCTCCAGCGCCACACGGCTGACGGACTCGTGGCTCTCCGTTTCGGGCCCCGGGACGCGGCCCGGGGCCGTGGGTCTGGGGGAAGGTGCGGAGGGGCCTGAGACCTGGGGCCCGGCCGTTCTCCCTCCCGGTCACAGAACGCTGGCCCCACGCCATGCACGAGGGCCAGTGTCGCCAAGTGGGTTTCTCTCCCTGGTCCTGCGGGTGCCTTGTCGGAGGCGAGGGGCCGGGGCCATACTGCGTCTGTCCCTTCTACTTTTCCTGCCCTTCTCACTCTGGGAAGTGACATTTGGCTCTCCCGCCTGCAGGTCCAGGGTGCGGACCTTGGTGAAGCCTGCTCCCAGGCTGTGGGGCACCCCTTTCCTGCCGCACCGGGTCAGCCTGGTTCCCGGGGCTTTTTCTTTGGCCTGTGGGGGCGCTTGGCCACAGTGCCCCCTGGGGGCCGTGTGGGGCGGTCACGGGCCGGTGCTTGGACTCTGTGATCCTCCCCCCGCCTTCCCAAGGGGCTGCGTGCGTGCCGTTTTAAGGTCCTGTGTCAGTTTTTTTCTAACACTTCTTCCTCACCTCTGAGTCATCTGGACTCCGTTTATTTTTTAATGTTTGTTTATTTGGAGAGAGAGGATGGGAGGGGCAGAGAGAGAGAATCCCAAGCAGGCTCTGCAGTCAGTGCTGAGCCCGATGTGAGGCTTGAACTCATGAGCCGTTAGATCATGGTCTGAGCTGAAATCAAGAGTCAGACGCTTAACCGACTGAGTCACCGGGGCACCTAGACTCCATTTATCAAGTTTTCTCTTCTGGATCGGTTCTTTTTCCTTCTTTTCTTTGTTGTTACTAGACACCCGTTTGGTGATTTCCCGGGTCCGTGTTCTTTCTTGGCCTGTCTCCGTCTCTTGCAGAGGTTTCTAGGCAGACAGGAGCCCTGGTCTTGGTCGACCGCGAGCCAGTCTTTTTTCCCTCGTGGCTCCCTCCGTCGGTGGAAAACTTAGGAAATACGGGGAAGCGCAGAGATCTCCGTCTTGCAGAAGTAGCTCAGCTGCGGACCCAGTTTCCGCGGTCGTGTTTTAAAGGTGGTTATGAGCTGTTTTAGACGCTAAAGTCAGAGGCACGAGAACCGTCCAGCCTCAGGATGAAGCGCAGCCGGTGTGTTTGCTTCTCCTCGTGACCGCCCTCCCCCCCCGGGGTCCCCACGCTTACTCTGCAGCAGACAGGGACCGCGTGTGTGGACGGTGTGGCGTGGGCGCCGCCGCAGCGGTGGGACCCGGTCACGACTGCCCCTGGGGCAGCTGGGTGATCGGGCGGTGCCCAGGCGCGTGCAGCCGCCGCCGCCCCGTCCGAAGGGCTGCGCTCGGGTCAGCGTACGGGGCCCCGGGTCTCGTTTACATTCCTGGGGGTTTCCTCAGTTCGGATGCGTCTCAGCGCAGTTTTGCCGGGGCAAAGGAGAGGAACGTTTGCAAGGCTCAGAGGCCCACTTGGCGTTTCTGCTGGCGGTATCTTGGTCCACGTCCTTTTTTGCGGTCCCCGAAGTAACTGTGAGCAGCGGCGGATCGGAGCTCCCCACGCCGGCTCCGCAGACGGGAGCCCCTGCCGTGGGCCGTGCCAGGTGCAGGCTGCTCCTGGGCGTCCCCGCGGGAGCGCTGGCACCCTCTCTGGGCGAGCGCCAGCTCCGGTCTTACACGTGGGTGTGAGTGTGACGAGGCATCTGCTGCGTGTTTACGGCTGACGCGGCTGTGGGGGTGTGTGTGTGACGGACGTGGCCTCGTCTTTGGGCCCTTTTCTCCCGTTGAACCCTTTCCGAATCCTCCCCATCGTGGGTTAGTTATTTTGGGCTTGAACGGCGGCCTACAGGGAGGAAAACCTGAGGACGGGGAATCGTACGCTTGGTTTGGAGAGCTGGTAGGGAAGGAAATGGCAGAGGACGGAGGGGATACTGTGGTCGGTGCAAAAGTGGGAGACGGTGTGCCGCTCGCCAGCCCTCCCTGTCCCCGGCCACCTGTGCCTGCTTGTGGCCGCCGCCCCCCGCCCCCAACAGACTTGGAGTGATCGATCGCAGCCTCCGAACTGGGTGCTCTTTTTCCAGGATGGGTGGTGTTTTTAGCCCTGGGGGTCGGGCCAGATGGGGAAGGGGGGACTCCATCTGACGCTTTACTCCTCCAGACCAGTGACTTGTGCTCTGGATGGTCAGACTTTCACTTCTCCCTTAGTGGATATGGTTTGGTCCTAGTCTTTTTTGTTTGTTTTTAAGATTTTACTTTTTTTTTCTTTTACCTTTTTTTTTTTTTAACTTTTAGTCAGTATTGAGAGACCGACAGGGCGTGAGCGGGGGAGGGGCAGAGAGAGAGGGAGACACAGAATCCGAACAGGCTCCAGGCTCTGAGCTGTCAGCACAGACCCCGACGTGGGGCTCGAACTCACGAACTGCGAGATCATGACCTGGGCTGAAGTCGGACGCTCAACCAGCTGAGCCGCCTACGCGCCCCTGGATTTTACTTTTTTTTTTTTTTTTTTTTTTTAAATCTCCATACCCATCATGGGCCTCAGACTCAGCCCCGAGATTAAGAGTCTCATGCTCCACCAGCCAGGAGCTCTCAGTCTTAGTCTTTTTAATCTGTTTTTTTCCCAGTTGGTAATTATGCCATTATTAAGAAGATTGAAATAGGTAACATTTAGCAGGCGTTGCCTATGAACTTCTATGAACTCTGTTCTAATCAACTCGGGGAGAGAGAGAGGATTGTTACTTCCATTTTATAGGTAGATGAGGAAACAAACGCACAGAGACACTGAGTAACTTCCCAAAGTCGCACCGCACTTAGAGGCAGAGTGTTGGGAACCCGGGCTGTCTGAACTCAGAGTCAGTCTGTAAATTGTGTCTGTAACTCACTTAACCAAGACCATCTTTTTTTCCTGAAGATGGGGCTGAGGTGAGTGTCTTTGCACATAGTGACACATCCATCCGGGTGTCTTTTTTACATGGAATATAAATTCCTTAGATTGATTTTACTTTCCCTAATCTTTGGATTGTGCCAGGTGTGCCCTTGTAAAACTGTTCACAGTATGGAGGGCACCTGCTTTCCCAACACGCTTTGCCAGTATGATGTTATTCGTACGGACTGGAAAACCAGAATCTTTCTTCCTGGCCGCTTGACTTTATTTGTCACCTGACTGCTCCTTTGTACACACCTTGTGTCCATTTTTCCTCTCCGGTTCTAGAGGGCTTTGTGAACAGAGGATGCAGTTGTCCTTTGTGTGGCTTGAGGAGGCCCCGTCAGTGCTCCCGCACCCCACAGGGCCTGGCCCCTTGGCATGGCAGGGAGAGGGGGGCTGGGCCGCGGCCGTCTGCTTTCCCCATCTACACCCCCACCTTGGCAGGGTGGGCCAGGAGCAGCAGACAGAAGCTGGGATCCCTCAGGAGAGTGTGGACCCCGCCGGGGAGGGGGCCTCAGGGGTCACGTGCGCCCTCCTGGGGCTGGAGTGCGGCAGGTGGCCCCCCACCTGTCGTTTGTGTCTTGACTCTGTACCGGTGTTTTTTGGAACAGAAGTTTTTCTTGCCACGTGGCCGTCGCTGTTGAGCTGTTCATTGGTAGCTTCCGTCTGTGGCGGCGCGCTCGGGGCAGCTGGTTTCCAGGACGCGCCGTGCGGCTCACGAGATCTGTCACTGGTTACTTGTGTTTTCACCCGTGCTCACCCGGAGTTTCTGTCTTCAGTCTTTTGTCTTAGAGTTCCACTTTGAACCCAACGACTACTTTACCAACTCAGTCCTGACAAAAACATATAAGATGAAGTCAGAGCCAGACAAGGCCGATCCTTTCTCCTTTGAAGGCCCTGAAATAGTCGACTGTGACGGGTAAGGAGACGCCGCTCCAGCTTCGTTTTGTGAGACAGAAGCAGGTGACTGCAGAGCTCCACGCGGAAGAGAAATTAGGAATAAAGCAGAAAGTCTGTAATCTCCTTAAAAGCCCAGTAGACAGAGAGATTTAAGTTAAATAGTCTTTTTGTTTGGGGCTATGATGGCCTGTGCTGGGAAATGTGTCATTCACGAGGTCACACGTGCCAGCGTGTAGGGTAAATGGCCGGGTTTCCTCATTGGAGGAGGCATTGGCTGCTGTAGTCCCCTGACACGAAGCTGTCCTCGCTGCACTGATAAGTCACCCTCGGCCAATATTTGTTGAGCGAATGGACGAGTCTGTGCAGGGCAGCGTTGGTCCGTTGCTTCCTCGAAAAGTGATGGGGCAGTTTAATTGTCGTTTGACTCGTGACCCAGCACCTCGGTGATTTCAGGCGAGATCACCAGGGAGACAGTGTGGGTTGGAGTTCATTCCTCGTGGTCTGTTCTATCTTTGAGCCGAAACCATGAGCCTTACTCACTGGAGCCAGGTGCTGCAATCTCCCCATGTGACAGTTCTGCGCCTCGTCAAGACCCTGCCGGGCTCCAATGGCAATGGTGACTCTGTCAGATCATTTCCCAGGCCCAGGCTGTCGTCGTGGAAACAGCGTCCTGAGCAGACACTAGTCACGTGCTGCCAGGGGCTGCCTGTTGAGCCCCAGTGATGGGAAGATTAGAAAGCCGGCCGGGCTAACCCCCCGGCAGGGCCCCCATGGCAGCCGGCAGCCGGCGTGCTGTGCCCCGGTCGCGAATACGGCCAGGGGTCGCCTGCCGCCTTCCGGCAGCTTGTTCTGCTTGCTTAGCTGCCTTGAGAGTTTGGGTGCCTGAGTTAGTCCAGCTGTGCTCTGGGGCCAAGAGACAGCAGGTGACAACCTGTGAGCATCGTTTGGGCACCCTAGCCCCGCGCTGACCGGGCTCGGCCACAGAAGAAGTACAGAAGGTCTCGGGAGAAAATGCGTCACGCTTAAGGCAATGCTCCCAACCCGGATGGTGGCAGACCGCCCCTCTGGCCGTTCTCCTGTCGCTGACCTTCGGATGCGCCTGGGCGTGCGGGGACCCATGGGTGGGTTCCTTTGACAGGGTTGTGCGGGTTAGGCGCGTGGCTCTGCTTTGCTGGGCTCTCCCGTGGCGGGTGTACGTGTGCGTGATGGGCGTCTGTCTCTGCAGGTGTGTCATTGACTGGAAGAAAGGAAAAAACGTCACCGTCAAAACGATCAAGAAGAAGCAGAAGCATAAGGGCCGAGGCACGGTGAGAACGATCACCAAACAAGTTCCCAACGACTCGTTCTTCAACTTCTTCAGCCCGCTGAAAGGTCAGTGGCGGCGCTGGAGTGTCACGTACGACCTAGAGTCCCTTACCCTCAGGGTCCTGCCCGGCGGCCCCCTGGAAACGACACACGCAAGACCATTTCTCATGAGTGTGCGCACGCACACGCACTGGGAAGTGCAGGTGCGCGGTGGCACGTGGGCTGCTCGCCCTCGTCCGCGGGCCGTCGCGCTCTGGGCTCGCTGCCTTCACCGCTCGGCCCCTCTCTTCCTGGGTCTGTCTTGGAGCCTCCAGGGTGCCAGTGCCTGCTGCTTTGGGGGTAAACGCAGCTGTCAATTCAGCGCTTCGGCTTCCTTGTTTGAGAAGAAGCCCTTTGCAGCCTCGCGTGCACGGTGGCCGCCACCTGCACGCGCTCCCCGTGAAGTAGACGCGGCTTCGCCCTGAAAGGCGGTGCGTTTGCTGGAAGCCTCCAAACTGGGTTTTAAGTAATTGAAGAAAGTTGAAGTCAGATTAAGTGGACTCCATTTGGGCAGGTGACTTCTGGGACCCCAAAACTGTACTGTCCTGGTCGTGTCACTCTACAGACAGGCCAGGGGTCCCTGAACCGTGCACCGAAATTTTGTGGTAGATGAATGACTCCTCCGATGAGTATTATTTATTTATTTGTTAAATGTTTGTTTATTTTTGAGACGGAGCGTGAGCAGGGGAAGGGTTGGCGGGGGGTACAGAGGATCTCAGGCAGGCTCCGTGGTGTCAGCACAGAGCCCAGTGTGGGGCTCGAACTCACGGACCGTGAGATCATGCCCTGAGCTGAAGTCGGACAGCTGAGCCCCCCAGGCACCCCGTGTACAGCTGTTGTTAAGGTAGTCAGAGAAACAGGGTAAGTTTGTCGTGTGGCGAATGTGATAAGCTTATCGGGTGATGAGCTCTGTGAAAACAAGTATGAGGTGACAGATGCTCAAGAAAATGTACCAAAATCGATAAAATGCTTTTTGAAATGATGGAAATCTAAGATGGCCTTTTTGTTCTCAAATCTAAGAAACAGGTCCCCAAGTCAAGGGAGCAAAGCCCCGGCCCCCAGGCCAGAGTCCCCAAACCCGAAGCTCAGCCCGGGGGGGGGGGCACAGTGGGGGGCTTACATGCCGAGGCTTGGGGACGCGGGCCGCAGGGCTGGGTTTTGCCCGCCGGGCCCCAGCCCCCACCCCGCGGTAAAGCCTTCGCCTCCTGAGACCCGGCCTGGAACGAGCACTTCTGAAGTCGGGGGTCTGAGCGTCACCGGGCTGTGTTCACTTTCCGGTCCCTGGCTTTCCTGTCACACTCGGTCCTGGGCCGGGCTCTGGTTCGGCACCACGATCTGGGCAGCTGTGTGTGTGCCGAGCGGCACGTCGGCGAGGCGTGCGGTGCTTCCTGCTGCCCGCAGGGAATCCGTTCGTTTGGCAGGAAGGACGTCCCGCGGACCCAGCCGAGGGGCGCTGCTTTGCTAACACGGCTCTGCCGTCCCCCTTCTCGGCGGGGTCCTGCGCGGGGCACGGGTGTGAGCTCCGCCTATGGCATGAAGGCGCAGAACGGCCGGTGTGCCGCCACTCGATGGGCCTTTCCACCTGGCAACCCTAACCTGCTGGGCATGCCTTCCCCCTTGGCCCTCTGCACAGGTCTGTGGGCGGTGCGGGCGGCGGGCAGGGAGGCGCAGGGCCGGGCTGTGCGCCGAGGCACTCGACCTGTCCGCCGGGCCGCCCGAGGGGGCTTTACCCAGGTCCTGGCCGTCCCTGTAACGCTCATGTGTTTGGTCTTTGTTTTCTAGCATCTGGGGATGGAGAATCACTGGTAAGATTTGTGTCGTCCTCAGAGTCTCCTCTGTGTCCAGAGTCATTCTGCCTTCCCTTCAGTCCTGCTTCCTCCTCCCTTGGACCCGGGGGGCGTTTCTGTCATTTCTGTCCACTGCACCATGGGGCAGGTCTGGAGCACGTGTCCCCGTGCCCCCGCCTGCCAGGCCGCCCGGAGCGCGGGCACAGTGCGGGTGGGTAGGGCGTGGTGCTCGTCTCGTGGAAACGAGTCGTGTTGACGTTTTCCCCTCTCAGGACGAAGACTCGGAATTCACGTTAGCCTCCGACTTTGAAATCGGACATTTCTTTCGTGAGCGGATAGTCCCGCGGGCCGTGCTCTACTTCACGGGCGAGGCCATAGAGGATGACGACAACGTACGTGGGCAGGGGTGCCCTGAGGGGCAGCTGGGGGTCCCCCGGTGGCGGGGCACAGGGCAGGGGTGGAGCGGGACTCGGGGGGGCCTCGGAGCGGAGTGCCAGCCTGTCCTCGGGGGGCCCCGGGTGCTTGCCGTGTCCTGCTTACTGCCTTTAAGCTTTGGGTAACTTTGAAACCCGAGGAAAATGCCACTCAGGGAGGTCTGGCACAGCAGACGGTCATCCACCGAGCTGACCCCTGCTAGCCTGTGGCGCACCAGCCCCAAAGACTTGAGGCCCGTGCTGCACGGAAGGGTGGCCAGGCTGCTCTCTCTGCTTGAGCGCACAGTCTGGCGAGCTGTCCTGTGGTCACCGGAGACGGTTCTCCATCACAAGCGAGGCCCGGGTCACTGGGTCTGCTTGATTTATGGCAGTACAGTTTTGTAGCGTCTGCTGCAAGTGTTTTAGGTGGTATTTACTCTCTTGCTTTTAGGGCTCTTGGGCGTTCCAGACGGTTCTAGGTTTCTTTTCTGAGGGGTCTGCCGAGGCCTTAGACGGGGCAGCGGGAGCGAGGCAGGTTCCGGGTGCTTGGCGCCCAGGGACAGTGCAGGCCCGCTTCCCACAGTTCTCTTCTGTGCTCACGGTCGTTGTGGGGGGGTCAGCTGTGGAGCCAGAGACCATCTGAGATGAGCTAACTTCCGTCCCGGGCTGGGGCAGGAGGCGGCTGTGGGGCGGGGTCGCGTCGTGTCAGGTGTGTAAGCAGCACGGCTGAAATTGACGTCACGGGTGGTAGACCGGCCCGACCGGCAGAACTTTCTGTGCTCCCCTGCCCACACTGTCCAATGCAGCAGGACCACCTGATGGGACGCGTAAAGACCGTGACTGAGATTGTTGGCAACTGAGGAACCGGATGTTCGGCTCTACTTAGTGTGGCCCAAGACTCTCGTGACTACGCGCCCCGGAAAGCTCGTCTCCAGACCGGGGGTGCCCGGACTTCGTTGATCTCACACCCATGAGTTTTAAAACTTGAGGGGGCAGCGCCCGCACGTGTTTATTTAAGGGGCAGGCACCGCGGCCGGCACGGCTTGCCTTCCGCGCGGACGTGCTCGCGCACGACGCCCCGCGTGCAGGCATGACGCAGAGCTGCGGAGGGGAGCCGCACGCTGACTGCTCAGACCGGGGTCCTGACCCCTCAGCAGCCACGTGCCAGCCTCTGCTGCGGAGTCCGCCCGGGACAGTGCAGTCAGTGGTGGGGAGTCTGGTGACGCGTCAGGCTGAGATTAGCTCCTGTTGGCACCGCTCCTTGGCGCCTGTCGGGTAGAGGTTAACCTGCAGGCCTCTGTGGCGTTGGCAGCCTTGCCCAAGCCCCGCGCGTGGTGCCGGGGGACCGGCTCGGTTCCCACGCTCTCCCGGCCCAGCTCGCTTGCCCCGCGGGCTCCACACCCCCACCCCCACCCGGGGGCCGCCGCTCTGCGGGAGTGTCAGGTGTGCTTGCGGCAGGACCCCCCAGGCCCCTCCGGGTCCAGAGTGAGGTGATCTGCTGAGAATCTCAGGAAAGCCGCGCTTGGGCCCGTCGGAGGCCAGTTCCAGTCAGAGGCTGCGCTGAAATGCAATTAGCTGCCAGACAGCAAGCCAGGGTCTTCCTCTGCCACAGGCCGGTCGGGGCACAAGGGGGAAAGGGCCCTGGGGTGTGTTCAGACACCTGCCGGCGCGGGAGGGCGCGTGCCCTGGGCCCCCCGGCCCCCGCTCTCTGGAGTTCTGTGTGAGCTGTCACTGAGGGGACATGTGTGGACTCCAACAAAGAAAAAGCCTGCTTAACGGGTCCCTTGTGCCGTGCAGGCAGTAGCGATAAGGTTTGTTGTGGGTTTGGTTGTGATCGGAGTCTGACGTTTGGAGCTTGAATGAGAGCCTCACCCGTGACGTCTTTGGACCTGGGAGAAATTCACTCAAGACCAGCCAGCTACAGTGTTGGGGGTCTCTTCTGCACGCCTTAGTTCTGAGTTCTTTTAAAGGTTAGCACCCAGGTTTTATCGTACTTCTAACACAGAAACGTTTACCCTTGTATGAGACATAAAATGCCGTGGAAGTTCATGCATCTTTGTAGTAAACGCCCTCTGCCGGCTTGCTTAGGTCAGCCAGTTTCCCAGGTGAACCCAGTATGTTCTCATGCTGACCAGCCTCCACCCCCGCCCATCCTTAGGCCTTGTTTTCAGTGGTTTTCAGCCACCCGGAGTCCTGTGACCGCAGTGGGGCTTGTGAACACGAGGCCCCGCAACGCTGGCCGCAGCCTAGTCCCCGTTCCAAGGCCAAGATGGCCCAGCAGCAGACCCTCCCCTTGAGACCTGGGCCTGGAACCGGTGCTGCCGACCGGCCTCTTTCCTCGGGCCTGACCAGTAGGGACACTTGACGGGGGGGACTGTGTCTGGGTCGGGGCGCCCTTGCGCTCCAGAGACTTAAAAACTTGTCTCTGTTTTCTTTTTTCAGTTTGAAGAGGGTGAGGAAGGAGAAGAGGAGGTAAGACTTGGCCCGCGTGGAGCGTCCCTTCCCTGCGGCCGCGCCGGGCTGCCCCTGCTCGAGTGCGCGAGGTCACGGAAGCACAAGACCAGTTACACCCAACTTGTGCGGAGCTGCCTCCGAGGGCTGCACCCTGTTAAAACCAGGGGGGCGGCCAGCGCCACCCCAGGGTCCGGTGGCTGACCCTGCGTTTTCAGCAGTGTGTTGATGCCCATTATCTGTGAGGGGATGAAGTACCCGGAAGCCATTGTGTCCAGAGGATGTGACATAATCAGTCCCAGACAGTGATCGTCGATTCCCTCTAAATCCAGGGGTTGTTTAGTTGGTTTGGGGCAAGTGAAGCCCCGAGAGTTTAAATCCCGTCCGTTCAGCTCCTTCTCACTCTCTTGTGCAGGAATTGGAAGGTGACGAGGAGGGAGAGGATGAGGACGATGCCGAAATTAACCCCAAGGTCAGTTGTCGGGGCTGCGCACACCTGCGAGCCCCGTGCCGTGTGCTCAGACGGCCCCCCACAAGGAGGCGGTGCGGGTGCGGGGCCCGTGTGTCCTCCCGTCAGTCCTGAGAGCAGAGCAGAAAGTTCTCGAACAGGGGCTATTCAGACACCTCAGGTGTCATTTAGTGTGAGGTGTAGATATCCAGTCAGTGCTTTTCCAGCTCCTTCCTGAGCTGTCCTTTGTTTTCTTAAACTAGTCAGGAGGGCAGCCTTATTTTCCAGATCTTTAATTCTTCTAAGGTAATGACTAAATGGCGACGCGGTAAACTTCTGTGTGTTTATTTTTGGGAAAGAGGGACTTTGAAAGGAGGGACTTTGGGGGGTTGTTATTATTTCTTTTAATGAGTAGAGTAGTGAAGTTGTAGACATAATCTTGTGACTGTATTTGGGCTGAGATTACTCGGAGCTGCGTGTAAATATCTCCAACGATCGCAGATGAACTAGGAAGCTTTAGTTAAACCAACAAAAAAACCAGCTGAGGAGAACGGGCAACTCCATTAACTGTACCTGTAGAGGGGAGTTTTGACTTCTGGTCTCAGGTCAGCCTAAATGAAGGCACCTTGCCGCTTGCCACAGCCTCTGAATCCGGAACCGCTTTAACGCGGTCCTGAAGCTGCACGTCGTGTCTGCGAGCGTGAGATCGGTAACGCGCGCGCAGCTTAGAGTTGAATCCGTGGTGGGCCAGCAGAGCCCTGGCGTCCCCTGCGTGTGCTGACTGGATCTCGGCGTAACTAGACACTGTTTGTCCGTCCGTCCCCCGTTTTTGCCCTGAGTGGGACGTGCGGAAACTGTCGGCGTAATAACCTAGCTCTGTAGGTGGTTTGGTTTGGTTTTGTTTTTTAACACCAAGTCTTTCCGTAAATGCACGCTTACCGTACTAGCTCCTTCTAGGGAAGGATGGGAGGGAGGCGTCAGACTTTCAGAAACGTACCACGTGAGTTCTCCTCTGGGCGTAAGCTCACGGAGAGGGGCATCTTTGCAAAGCCGACCCACGCACCACGGCAGGACTGCCGCGCAGACGCGCCCGTGCTCGCCTCCGTGACACCGGGGCCCCGCCTTGGGTGGCCCCCACCGGCCGCCTGCTCCTTCCTGCTCTCCCGCTGGCGCACGCGCCCACACTTTGGATTCTAGAGCCGAGACCGCGTCCAGACTCGGGGCCCGGCTGCCTCCGGTCTCCCCCGTTGCCGGCGGTGAGGGCTCCGTTGTCGCATCGCTTCCTTCTGCTGTCTGTCCTCCCCTCTCTCCTCGCCGAGCCTTCTGCCACGTCTGTTTTGCCGGAAGGGCGTCCTCTCGCCAGTAACGTGACACGGGGGAGGGTGGTCAGGAGTAGCGCCCATGGGCCTCCGTCTGCGGTGTCGGTCAGGGGACGGAGAGCGGCGACTGAACGAGTAGCCCCAGCAGCGTGAGGCCCCAGGACCGCCGGGCCTGGGCAGCCAGAAGGGCCCGAGTCTGGCCCCGCGGAGGGATCTGCCCCGTCAGGGTCTGCACAAGTGGAGGCAGACGGGGACAGGGGCTGTCCGGCTACTAAAGGGACAGGTGTGATGGGTGGGGGTGGTTCATCTCAAGCTCGAGATTTTGCAGCCGTTGCGTCACGAGAGAGCCGCTGTTTCTGTCGGTATAATTTGGTGCAGTTTATTTTCCTTTATGCTGACAGTTCCTTTCAGTTTTTTCCCCACGTACGTGTAATTTTTGTCTGCTGATCATTCATACGTTTCTAGGTAAGGTGGAGCCGTATTCGTTTCTAACCCAGTCTCCTGGCCTGTGCCTTACGGTCGTGCCTCACTGTCGCTCTGCGGACAGAGAGGAAGCTGCCGGCCAGGCACATCCAGTGTGCACCAGGCTGAGCGTGCGGCTTCCTGAGGAACAGTATTTTTGCGCAGGGGCCTGTCGTCTATGCGGCCTTTTGGCTTTTGTTTTTTTGTTTTGTTTTGTTTTTTTTCAACGTTTATTTATTTGTGGGACAGAGAGAGACAGAGCATGAACGGGCGAGGGGCAGAGAGAGAGGGAGACACAGAATTGGAAACAGGCTCCAGGCTCTGAGCCATCAGCCCAGAGCCCGACGCGGGGCTCGAACTCACGGACCGCGAGATCGTGACCTGGCTGAAGTCGGACGCTTAACCGACTGCGCCACCCAGGCGCCCCTTGGCTTTTGTTTTTAATTCAATTTCTCTTTTAAGTTTACACTCTAGTTAGCGTCTGGTGCAACAATGATTTCCGGAGTAGATTCCTTGGCGCCCCTCCCCCATTTAGCCCATCCCCCCTCCCACACCCCCTCCAGTAACCCTCTGTTTGTTCTCCATGTTTTAGAGTCTCTTATGTTCTGTCCCCCTCCCTGATTTTATCTTGTTTTTGCTTCCCTTCCCCTTTGTACATCTGTTTTGTCTCTTAAAGTCCTCATGTGAGTGAAGTCATATGATGTTTGTCTTTCCCTGACTAATTTCGCTTAGCGTAATACTCTCTGCTTCCATCCACGTAGTTGCCAGTGGCAAGATTTCCTTCTTTTTGATTGCCGAGTAATACTCCGTTACGTATATACGTAGACATCCCACATCTTCTTTATTCGTTCATCCGTCGATGGACATTTGGGCTCTCTCCATACTTAGGCTATTGTTGATAGTGCTGCTATAAAACATTGGGGTACACATGTCCCTTCGAAACAGCACACCTGTATCCCTTGGATAAGTACCTAGTAATGCAATTGCCGGGTCAGAGGGGAGTTCTATTTTTAATTTTTTGAGGAACCTCCATCCTGTTTTTCAGAGTGGCTGCACCAGTTTGCATTCCCACCAGCAGTGCAAGAGGGTTCCCCCTTTCTCTGCATCCTTGCCAGCATCTGTTGTCGCCTTGTTTTTGTTTTTTTTTTTTTAAGTAGCCTCCACATCCAGTATGGAGCCCAGCGTGGGGCTTGAACTCACAACCCTGAGGTCAAGAGTCAGACGCTTAACCGGCCGAGCCACCCAGGTGCCCCTGTTTTGTGTACCTCTAAAACTGACGGTCAGAAACTACATTTGGCTCCCGCTTTGCAAGCCCAGTGTTCATTTCTGACCGAGTAGCAAAGGCATGACTGGTGTGGCATTTTGACAGAACGGCCCTCCAGGAAGAGGACAGTGAGTGAGGGCCCTGGGAGGTGGAGACCGTGTTGCCTGGGCTGTGCTAGGACCAGCCACACCCCTTGCGGTAGGAATGAGCCCATTGCTTTTTCTTGATGTGTTTCTAGTGATTGTTTATACTTTTTAATCAGGTGTGGTGCAGACCGGTAGGTCATAAAGGGCTAACTAAACTTCGTGCCAGAATTTTTGTGCCCAAAGCTGTGGTCCGGTGTAGCGTTAGTAGCAGGTGCTGGTGTGGCTGGCTGCTGGAGAGTTCTGAGCGGGTAAGAGCTAGCAGCAGTATCCTGGGGGCCGCCCACCCCCCACTCCCATCCCCCACGGTGAGGGCCATCCTCGACATCGCAGCTCTGTTCCAGTCATCAGCTCCCTCCCCCCGGGGACACCGTCCTCACTTGGCGGGGTTGGGGAGGGAGGTGGTCCGGGGTGGTGGTCGGCAGGTGCCACGGGAGGCGATGCTCATACCCAGGAGAGGAAGGCTGAGCAGCAGCGGCCGCTTACACAGCGGAGCCTGTGAGCAGGAACTTGAACTTCCCGCCGCAGGTGACCAGCAGATCCTGACCGTCATTTAGACCAAACACCTTTGAGCGTCTGTCTGCATTGCCTTCCTCTCTCCCTCGCGTGGGCTCGTTCTCATAGACGAGGCCAAAGAAACGCTTTAACTAGGGGAGACGCGCGGCCCCGGACCCGCGTGTTTGGAGGGTCGAGTCTGATGATTGGCGTGCACGGGTGACCGCGCGATTGCTCGGTTCCCGCCGCCCCACCCGTCTGAAGGACCAGCAGCCAGGCTTGCTCCGCCCAAGCCCCGCTCCTCCCACCCCGCCAATCGCTTGGGAGCGTCCGCAGCCCAGCAGCCCGTGTCTCTAGGACAGAGGGACCCTCCTGGCGTGTGGCCACCCCGAGTAACACCGGCGTGTCTCGGCAGTTTTGCCAGTCCTGTGGCGATGTCGTCAGGTTCTTGCCGGGGTCCCAGCTTCTCCGGGGGGGTGGGGGGAGGCGGCCGTTCCCCCCATAGTCGGGCAGCTCTTGGGCCCCGGGGCCGTGGGCCCCCGTGACGCAGTGCCGGCCGGCTGTGTGCTTGGTGGCCCTTTTCCACTCCTTCCCCGGCACGTGTCGTCTGGGAAAACTTGTCTTTTAAATGGTTCCCAGACGGGCAGGGTTTGGGCTATTAGAGTGTGCCTTTGAAACCCCTGCCTCCGTTCCTTTGATAAGCAGTGGCGTTGAGTGACTGAGCCGTCATCAGACTCTGTGATGTGAAACAGAGGGTGCTGGGGCTCAGTGCAGTTTTGTTTTGGCCTGTGTCACAGGTTGGAAACCATTGGTGTCTCGTTGATGAGACTCACCTCAGAAGCTTTGGGATTCTGGGTCACCTTTACCAGCTAGGAGTTGTGTCCCTGTGGATGCTGCTCCCGCAGGTGGGGCCGCCAGCTTCTCTCCTGGTCTTGGTTGTCGTGAGGCCCTGCTTGCCTCCAGTAGCCTTTATCACCTAAGCTACTGGATGTGTTTTGAGTGAGTAGGTGATACATTCTCAGGCTTAAAAACCTATACATATACGTGTGAAATCATCCAGACTTCACATCGTAAATTGTTTCCCACCCAGTGTTGCAAAACACTGTATATGTGGAACCCTTCGTGTGCGGAAAGGTAGAGAAGTCCCTCCTGTCCTGTGCCGCCCTCCCCTGTTCCCGCCTTCTCCCCCTTCTCGACCACCTCCTTTGCCCCATCTCCTCTGACCCACTTCCTTGTCGCAAATACGATTGTGGAAACACACGCCCCCCCCTCGCGCGCGGACAGCTGCCTGCGGCTCCCCCCCTCCTGCCATCGCCGCACCGACGGAGAGCCAGCGGCCCGGGGCCTCTTCGGCTGCCTGGGTGGGTCACCTCCAGGTGTGTGGGTGGGACTTTGCTCTCTTCTACCCTGGATTTCTGGTCACGTGTGTTTTGTTTTGGCGCCTGGCCTTTTCAGCGGTATTTTAGATGAGCGGGTGCCGGGCGGGTGCCAGGGCCAGGACCCCCTCCCAGAGCGGCCCCGCTGCTGGGGGTGCTGGACAGAGAGCTGGACAGAGGGCCCGGCCTCGTCCCTGTGCCCTCTCAGGGTCCCAGATGTTGTTTCATGTTTCTGCGGACTCTGCGTGTGATTTTTTCCCTGTCTTCAGTGTGATTCTCTGGAGAATGAGCTGGAGCTTCCACCGTAGCAGCTGCCAGTTCTGTTTTCCCAGAAGTTTCTTCTGGACCACGTAGTGCGGGGGTTTTAGCCTCCCTGGGCTTGCCAGATCGTGTTCTGAGTGATGTGTAGCCTTGGCAGCCAAGAATTCTAGGCGACTGACTGGTGCGTTTATATGCTGAGGATGGCCGGTGACCTCGTCGTGTGAGTCGGGCTGTTGGTGGCCTTCACACAAAATGCGTGGATTTGCTAAATATGCTCGTAAAGGTGGGAGACAGGTTGTATCGAGGTGAACGTGCTCTTCTGTGCTGAGGAGACCCCCTCTCTCCCTGACACCTTTTCTGGAAGGGTAGGGTTCCCACCTGGGGAGGGACATGGGGGCGGGGGGCGGTGCGTGCAGCCGTCGCAGGGGCCTCCCCGCGTCAGGTGTGGCTGCTCGGCTGCCTCTGGCCCACACTGGGTGGGGTGGCCCCTGTTCGTCTCCAGCGTTGAGCCTGTCTCAGGGGCGGCGGGAGCAGAAAGGGGGAGTCTGCTGCTGTTTCACGCAGGCGGCGTTTAGGGGCCGTCACGAAGCTTCGAGGCCGCCTTGCAGCTCTGGAACACGGGCCCTCCTGCACGCGTGCTCAGTCTCTGCGGCCCTGACGGGCCCTCCTTCTGAACGCAAGCCCTCTGATTAGACTCGGGGCATGGCTTGAAACAGAAAGGCTGCCCTACTGAGATTGTTTCTGGGAAGCTGACTTATTTTTTGTTACCGTTGAAAAATTTTAAAGTTTTTCTTAGTGTCTGTGTGAGAGAGACAGTGCAAATGGGGAAGGGGCAGAGAGAGGGGGAGACACAGAATCGGAAGCCGGCTCCAGGCTCCGAGCCGTCAGCGCAGAGCCCGACGCGGGGCTTGAACCCACGAACCGTGAGATGGTGACTTGAGCCGACTGAGCCCCATTCAGGCGCTCCACTATTTCAAATTATTTTTTAAGTTTCTTTATTTTGAGAGTCAGCGAGCAAGCAAGCAGGGGAGGGCGGAGAGAGGATCCCAAGTAGGCACAGAGCCCTACACAGGCCTCGATCCCACGACCCTGGGATCATGACCTCAGCCTGAATCAAGAGTCAGACGCTTACTTAACCGACTGAGCCCCCCAGGCGCCCCTTTGTCACTACTCTTCTAAAAGTGTGTTTGCAGGGACCATTTTTTCAGTAAGAATGAGCACACTCGTTGAGTCTTCCCTCCGTCGTTGGTTGGAGACGGCTGGTTGATGAGATCGGTTCCCTACAAGTGTTGTTCTCTCGTTGCAGAAGGAGCCCAGCCAGCCCTCCGAGTGCAAACAGCAGTAAGACGACGGCACCGAGGACCCGTCGCGGCCGCAGCGCGACTGCACCGGCAGCCCTCGCCTCTAACTCGTTTTCAAGTGCATGATTTTGACGTTAACTTTTCCTTTATCCTTATTATTTGGCTTAACCTGTACAGTGGCGACTTAAATGCATTTCAGAGATAGGAGGTTTGCTTCCAGCACCCTCTACGGCCTTGGGTGCAGCGCGGTGGACTTTCCCAGGCCCTGCCTTTGGGAGGAGGGGGCGGTGGAAGGTCGGTCGACGCCAAGGGCAGGCGTCTGGGGACGTGGTTCCAGGGCATCTAGAGCCAGTACCTCCACTCCGCAGTCGGACCGGATTCTTCCTTCACTTGGAGAAACTCACACGCTTTGTGTTTCCGCCACTTGGTCTCCTGTGCTCTCGTCGTGCCCCAAGGGCTGGTAGAGTCGAGTCCCGTTCTTAGAGCGTTCCCTCTCCAGTTTTGTCTCCCTCGGGGTGGCGTAGGGGGTGCGCGCACCCCAGCCCCGAGGCGCCAGTGCTTGTGGTCCATCCTCGTATTTATTTCTTCTCTCCTGCCCGTGAGGGCTCGGGGCGCCTGCCGTCGCTCGCCCTTACAGTCTCTGAACCCGTGTGTGTGCCTGGTGACCCGGTGGCTCCCCAGGTGGGTGTGCTGGCGGCTCCCACGCGAGCCAGGCCTGCGTAGAGGGACCCTCGCTCTGTCCCTGGCAGGGGCGCGGGGGGCGCCCGTGGCGGGGGGCCGCTTCTCCTAGTGTGTGCATGTCGGGTCTTGCTTCCTCAGTAGCCCCTGTTTCTCGGCCCTGTGCTCATCTTGTCTTCAAAGCCCTGGGTTCGGAGTGACCCGTTCTTGGCTGGCGTGTGAGGTTTCCGAGTGTGTGACCGCGGTCTCTGGCAGCCGGGGATGCCGTGTCCACGCTGTGACCAGGCCTGTAGAGTGCTCAGCCTTACTTACAAGACATTTGTAACTGAATACGGTGTTTTCAATTTGTACAGAATAGTTAGAATATTCTATTAAAGTTGTGAAACACGAATCCAGTGCTGTGCAGTGTGTCTCTGGGGGCGAACCTGGTGGGGTCCTGGCACCTGCTCCCACCCGGCAGCTCCGGGCCGTGGCCGCGCGCCCGCATGGACTGTGTCTGTAGAGCCGTGGGGAGTGAGCAGACCCAGGACTTCAGGCCTTTCCCATGTTGTCTTTGGGGCTCTTGCAGCCGGTTCTCGGGAGGACGCTGCGTTTACCTGGCCCATTAGACCTCCGGACCCGCTTCACCGCCAGCAGGGTCCCAGGGTCCCCGGGTGGGCCCTCCCCGAGGAGAAAGCCGTTCCCAGAGTTTGTGGGGCTGTGCCTTCCAGACGCAGAGGTTCCCAGGAGGGAGGGGTCCCGCACGAAGGCCACCTTTGCTGTGTCTTCTCACTGGGGCTTTTCTGCCGGGGTCCCCGTCCCTTCATGAGAGGGGGCGCTCCCTCCCAGGACACCTGCACGGGCTCTTGCTCGGGACCTGACCTGGGGGTGTCTGTCTGCTCTTTGAGCAGGAGCCGGGGCCGGGGCCGGGGCCGGGAGAGGGCAAGCGCACCAGCCTGCTCCTCCCTGCGGCCCAGGAGCCGGCATCCGGTCCACCCGTTGTCTGCCCGGGGACCAGCCTCTCCCTGGGAGTAGCTGGAAGAGCCGTGTTTCCAGCGTGCCCCAGACAACTGGAGCCAGAATGTTCTTGGTTCTTGAAGTACCCAGGCGAGCTGGGGCTCAGACTCCCCGGCCAGGGTAGCCCACGGGTGCGCCCCACCTGGGTCGCCAGGCCTGCCTTCTTCCCGCTGACGCAGTTAAACACCCCATCCCGGAGGACAGTCTGCAGAGAAGACGCCTGCATGCAGCTCCCTATCTCCTGGCTGGGAGCGCCCCTGGGGGACGGGCCCCGGCTGGGAGAGCCCCTGGAAGAGGGGCACCCGGCTGGGAGAACCCAGGGGGGACGGGGCCCCTGCTGGGAGCGCCCCTGGGGGACGGGCCCCCGGCAGGGAGAACCCCTGGAGGTCGGGGCCCTGGCTGGGAGCGCCCCTGGACGTCAGGCCCCAGATGGGAGCGCCCCTGGAGGACGGGTTCCAGCTGGGAGAGCCCCTGGGGGACAGGCCGCCCCTGGAGGTCAGGCCCCCGGCTGAGAGCACCCCTGCGGGACGGGCCCCCGGCTGGGAGCGCCCCTGGGGGACAGGCCGCCCTTGGAGGTCAAGCCCCCGGCTGAGAGCACCCCTGCGGGACGGGCCCCCGGCTGGGAGCACCCCTGGAGGAAGGGCCCCGGCTGGGAGAGCGCCTGGGGGACAGGCCGCCCCTGGAGGTCGGGCCCCCAGCTGAGAGCACCCCTGCGGGATGGGCCCCCGGCTGGGAGCGCCCCTGGAGGATGGGGCCCCGGACCTCTGCGGCAGCTGCTGTCCCCGCAGATCCTGACTGATCCAGGCTCCCCAAGGACTCCCGACTGGCACATTCCCCTGGAGCATCCAGAATGAATCTGTTTACAAACCTGTGGCTTTGAGTAACCGCAGGATAGGGAACGACCGTGTGCCTGGGTGATGTGCAGGAGGTTCACAGGGACGGACACGGCTCTGTGAGCATTGGTCCCACTGGCCCAGGGCTCACTGCGAGCATGACCTTTCAGGGGAAGCCTCCCTCCTGCCGGCCCCTGGCAGACCCACGCCCACTAGGAGCCGCAGCACCGCTCAGCCTGGCGGCTGCCGGGCCTCACTGAAGAAACGCAGGTCACGTGGGAAGAGTCTTCAAAGGGCACACAGCTCCGCGGGCGGGGGGCAGCCCCGTCCGAGGGCCCCCCTGCCCGGCAGTTCCGAGGCCTTCAAAAACGTAGGTGTGCATCACGGGCGGGAGTCCGCACCCAGCGTGTGTGCAGAGCGCGTGTGTGCAGAGCTCCGTCCCTTCGGAGACCGGCCGAGTCCATGCGTGGCCACCAAGAACGGGCGTCCTTGTGGGTGCACGCCTGTGCGTGTGTGTTCACAGGGGTTACCTTCGGGGTCTGAGCTGAACAAGGAGCTGGAGAGGGCGGCTGGGCCCCGGGGGCGGTGGGACGGGACTCCGGGCCTGCTGGCTGGCCGTGGTGAGTCGCGGTGCAGGCCGTAGCGGGCGTGGGTGTCAGAGTTTGTGCCCGGTGCACGGACGGGCAGCGGGAGGGACGTTTGGATGCCGGCCGTCCCCGGAGACGCTGGGTTTCATTTCCCTGCGGGAAGAAGAGTGCACGAGCTCCACGGAGCTGGGTCCCCGCGGCCTCAGGCTGGCGCTGGTTGTTCCAAACATATTCGGACGGCAAGATGCAGCTCGAAGCCCTGAGAAGCCGTGCCTTCCCCAACCGTCCACGGCGGCCCTGCCTCCTGGCCTGTCGGCGCAGCTGCTCCCTGACCTCACCCCTGCGCAGTCACAGGAAGGGGAAGGCGGGGCCTCTGCCGGCCGGCCCTCAGCACCTCGGGGAACCTGCAGACGCTCCCTTGCTGCTTGCTCCCGAAAGTTCCGGAGCAGCCAGGAGACAGCAGCTCTGGGGGCTGGCCGGCTCTGCAGGGGCTGGGCTGCCGCCGCCTCGGGGCCCCCGGGCTGCCCGCCTGGCTGCTCTTTGACCTCTGTCTCCACTGACCCCCTGAACCGCTTGGAGCCGGGCCCACCCGGCCCCTCTTTGGGACCCTCGTGGGCGGGGCCGTCACGATGCTTCTTTGAGAGGGTCAGGTGAGGTGAGCATCCGGGCCCACCTCCTGTCCTCACGGCCTCTGCTGCCCGTGCCCTCCCTCCCTCCCTAGACTGTTCCCTTTGAGGCCACGGGGCCGGAGTCTCGCACGTCACACGAGACCGTGCCCCCTCAGACGTGCTCAGAATCGAGTGGCTGCCGTCTCCGAGCTCCGTCCTGCCCCGGCCTCTGCGTCCCGGCCCCTGGGCGGCTCGGCTCTGCCCTGGGCCGTTCCAGGGTTTCCACAGATGCCTGGAGTTCAAGGTGGGGTCCCAGCGGGGGGGACCTTGGAAGCAGGGACTGAGCGAAGCCAGCCAGACACAAGGGAGGGCGTGCAGGTGACGCGGTGGCCTCTGGAGGCTGTGCGCGGACTGTGGTCACTGGGGAGCGGGTGCGGGGGCGGCCAGGGTACCTCCGGGCGGTGGAAACTCGCGGAAACCCCTCAGTGAGTGCGCTCGGCTGTGTGTGCAAACCGTACCTCGGGGAACCCGCGTTGCCAGAAGTGCTCCCAAGTCGGGGTCCGTCCACCTGAAATCCTGGTTCTCCCCCATGATGGGTTGGGAATTGTGGCCACCCGGGGCGGGGGCGGGGGCGGGG